TTCAATATAGGGCACTGCTCATGTGCCAGCTAACCTCTTATGAAAGAGTTTATGATTTCATATAATTACCAGAGAAACACTTTCAGGTATTTCCAATTGTTAATCTCATTTTATTAGGGAAACTGACCTAGATACATTAAATAACTTATCCAAAATTATGAGGTTAATATGGCTTAACTCATGTCAACCCAACACCAAAAACAAGACTATTAACCACTGGCTCTAGACTGTAGAGCCAAAGCTTGTATAACTCCAAAGCAAACTTACAAACTGAAAAATTATACAGCCAACCCATAAACAACATGGGTTTGAACTACATAAGTCCACTTACGTGTATTTTTTTTCAATAAATATGTACTACAGTATTACAAAGTCAGCACTTGGTTGAATCCACAGATGTGGAACTGTACATATGGAGGGCTGACTGTAAAATTATATGAGGATTTTCAACTGCAGCAGAGGGTTGGTGCCCCTAACATGCATATTGTTCAAGGGTCAACTGTATATTAATAATTTCCAGGTAAGCGCTACACTTGCAAATTCTTTTTACCATCAATCTGACCACAAGAGAGAATTGGTTGTGGTTTGCTAGTCTGGGGATCTGGGTTCTTGCTTCAGTCTATTTCATCTGTCATTAATGTTGATACAACATGCTGTTCTTGTACATCTTTATTTATCCCATGGGCTGGGCCCTGTTATGTGTGTGCTTTACACTTTATATGGAAATATTCTACTATAAATATACTTTATATATTTATACTGTAATAGTACAATTATTATTCTCCTCTTCTTGCAAAACTTCATGTTGTTTCTCCATTTTCTCCTACCCTTCCATTTTCACTATTTTCTGGCTGTTTTGTACTTCTCTCTTATACTTTTTCTTCTCTGCATTCTGCATACCATCTTGTTCTTTCTCTCCATGCTGTATACTGTGCCCATTCAAGTAATACAATCTACAGCTACTGCTTCTTCACTTCCCTTCTTCTTTTGTCTTAATCATCTTTAAGCATATAACCTTTTCTCTTCATTCCTTTAAATCTGCTGACACCTATACTCATCCAGGGATTTTTTTCTTCACTTACTTATGCCACGAAAAAAAATTCTTTCAGTACAAAAGAGCTGCTTCTATGTGATGCTATTAAAAAGGACTTTTGATTTCTGTTTTGTTTTGAAAGCAGTCCTAAAAGCAGTGTGGTAATGGCAAAAGAATAGATATACCAATCAGCAGACAGAACAGCAAGCCCAGAAGCAGGTCAGGAAACTTAAGAACTTATTTTCAAGGGAGTATCAGAAATTAATGGGCGAGACAGATTATTCAATAAGTAACGTTGACAACATTTGATGTTTGGAAAAATCTATCATATTAGATCATTATCTCATATCATGTGCCAATTCTTTTGTATTTAAAAGTGAAAAATTAAAACTGTACAAGAGGAACAAAATTTAAGCTGAAGGAGCAGGACTTAAGCTTTAAGGCAATGTAAGAAATCAAAAAGAAGATTGGTTAAGATTTCACCATAAAAATAAACACACTAACATCACCAAAATTCATGAAGATTAAAAAAAAATGACAAACTAGGAACAATACTGCTCCAAGTATGATAAAGGATTATTAAAAAACTTCTACAAACAAATAAGAAAAAAGGCTAAGACTCCAGAGGAAAAGTACACAAATAACCGGCAAATCATCAAGGGGAAACACAATAAATAATACCAAATTATTAAATTATTTTCAGCCTCACTGGCAGTTAAAGAAATGTAAATAAAATGCTTTTTTCAAAAATTTGCAAAGACTTTTAATAAATAACACTTCGTGATGGAAGGAGTGCCGTGAAATGGGCATGCTAGCTTTTGATGGGAACCATAAATTTGCTTCTGGAAAGCAATTTAATCATAGCTATCAAAAGTCCTAAAATATGGATACATTCCAATCCAATACTTCCACTTTAAGGAATCAATCTCAAGGATAGACGCAATCAGTTAAATACAAGAATGTTGACTGCAGCATTACTTATCAAAGCATTAAGAAAGAAAGAAAGAAAAAGAAGGAATGAACTAAAATGTTTTGCTTAATAGTAATAATAGTTCAATTATGGTATCTACTTATCATTGAATATTACACAGCTATTGACTTGCACTGGAAAAAAATTAATAAAGGGAAATTTTTATGTTACAATGACTGTAAAAAGCAGAAAATAAAGTTGAATAATTGTATAATATTGTTAGGTAAAATACAAAGGAAATGCATCAAATATAAACTGTATATTTTCTGCATTGACAAATTATGGGCAATTTTTAATTTTTAATATTTTTCTCTATTTCCTAGGGTACTTTTTAAAAACAATAACTATACTTTATTCTTATATTTAAACAGAATTTTAAAGAATAAAGCAAAAAGGGACAGTTGACCACAATCATCACTCAGTTTCCAAATAATGAATGAGATTATGTTCTAAAAATCTACTGGTAGGTCAGTTGTTCATAAATTGCAACATACAATAATATTAATACTAACTAAGTCTCTAGGCCATCCAACAGAGTAATTTACTTAATCCACAATGTAGCTGAAGAAGACCAATTGCATTTTAATCATTTTGGTGGGAAAATATGTCCCCAGTTCTAAAAGAATACTCTAGGAAAGCCTGGTCCTGTCATCACTACAGGACTTCCCCGAAGATTCAACTGTGTAGACAAGTGGGTAGAGCAAATAGTCCTATTCTGAGAGTGTTCTAGATACAAGAATAAAACAGATTAGAAAGAAAGGAAAGTCAAAGGTTGCTGCTGACTCTTTCACGTTCCCTCCCAGACTTTATTTTGACTAAGGATAGACACTGGCAATATTACTTATCTTCAGAGATTTGGAGGAACGCATCATCCTGGGATTGAGGTACTTGACCCTTCCGATACAGGCATGGCTTCATTAGCATCAACCTGCAGCAACAGAGTTATCATTGAAATTTTCAGAGTATTTTCTTTGCTTACCCATTCTTAAAATGGATCTTTGTCCAATACAAAATGATTTGTTTGAAATAGACCTGAAGAGAGGGATGTAAGCAGATTTAAATGCACATTGTTTTCTCAAGGTATTTAAACCCATGATGTTATCTTCTATATATCTGAGATATTAAGACTTCAATGAGATTTACTTTTTGTAGCATTGTGAAAATAAAAAAGGTATATTCAGTTTTAAAATTCTATCCCCCCAGATCTTTTTTTTCCTACTTCACCTTTGTTTCAACAGATATTTCAGAATATACTTACTAATACTTGCTAGGCATTTAATATTTAGAAGCTCTTTAAAAATACTCATTTTAACAAAAAAAATCAGAAAATAAAAGTAACAAACGTAAGAAAATTATGATGACCTATTAATTCCACACCTCAAAGATAACTTATTCAAGTTCTAAAAAGTTATTTTTATTTTTAAAATGGAATAATATTTCTATAGTTTTGGAACCTGTATGTTTTCACCCAATAATATACCATAAATATGTTTCTTTTCAATAGACTTTTACCAATTTCAAAAAACATACTTCTGTAACAACAACATAATACTTTAACCTTACAGAATAAGCTTATTCAAACCTTTGGACTGTTTGCAATTTTTTATTCTTATAAACATATTTATAATTAAATCTTTTCAAGATTAGACTCTTTAAGTGGAAGTTAAAATTCCAAAGGCAGCTAAGTTACAGTTTGGTGCAGTGCAAGGCCATTTAATAAGGGAGTATGATTTACTAACCATTACATTTTATTTAATCATGGTTACAAACTAACTTTTATGCTTATTGTTCACTTTTTTCCCAGTTTTTCCACCTATTGTTTTTTAGATATTTTTTTGACTTCTTCCTATCACTGTAATTCTCTTCCTCTTGGTCCTGGCAAAAACTGGGTATTTCTTGTGCTTATTTTAACTTTCACATAAGAGTTTATGCTTATGAGAATACTTTTGGGTAGATTTTATGCAGAAGGTGGAACAACTTTGTGGATACATGTGTCTAATGGGAAATCTAGAGATGTGGGTGGATACTGTAGCTAGTAAAATGAAAATATTAATAATAAAGGTACATTCTTTTTCATACACGTATTTTGCTTGTATGTTGAACTGTCACTCAAATGTACCTAACTTCATTGGACAAGGTATAAGGCATGCCAACTTCCAAATTCTGGCAACTCTAAACTCCTGGTAGCCATTCTGGAGCTGCTACTATGTATAGCATAATATGATTAATTGTGTTATTTTTAAATACAGCTAACTTTGTTCTAATATGCATTCCCCAGTCCCAAATACACATTCGCCTTTTCAGTCTTAAAAATGGACTTCTTGAGGGACTTCCCTTGTGGTTCAGTGGCAAAGAATCCGCCTTCCAATGCAGAGGACGTGGGCGCGATCCCTGGTCAGGGAACTAAGATCCCACGTGCCCCAGGGTAACTAAGCCTGCACAGCACAACTACTGAGCTCGCACACCTCAACTAGAGAGACTGCTTGCTGCAAACTACAGAGCCCACGTGCCCTGGAGCCTGCTCACCACAACTAGAGAAAACAGGATGCCACAAGTAGAGAGAAGCCCGTGAGCTGCAGTGAAGAGCCCGTGCGCCGCAACTAAGACCCAACATAGCCAAAGATAAAAATTAAAAAAAAAAAAAAGGACTTGGTAGGAACAAATTTAACTACTACCTACCGTGATGAGAACCTAACAACTTCTGACACAGTAGGACTTAGAGAAAGCCCTGAATTTCTGTGCCAAGCCTGTGGGAAGGTAGGATGGGGGCTATTGACAAGGGAAGGAGAAGCACAAGGGAAAGTGTGCTTAGCCTCTGTCTTCTAAGACTCCAGATTATTTCAGAATAAAGGAGTTGCATTTTCATTTTAATCAAAGATTTCAGAGAATATTGCTAGAAAAAATTTAAAGTTAAAAAACTAATTTGAATAGATTCAGAAATGCAGAATTCATCAGATTATGTTATACAGACCCGTATGACTCAATTCTCCCTAGATGGGATGAACAATCTTTATTAACAGAAACCAAATTTATTGTCCAAAGTGATAACATACAAAGAAATACATATCAAAATCTGTTGCCATGAATTATAGTTTTTAACATTTTCATTACATTTACAATATGTGTGGAACATTATAAGGATTTACAGTAGAAGCCAAATATCCCAGCCCTTAAAAATCAAATAGGAAAGACTGTATGAATCATACATAAATATCTTTGAACACAAGCATTGGAAACATACATATGATTATAATTTTATAGCCTTATACAGGTAACCACTATATGTAACAGAACAGGCAGAAAGGGTAAGACAAACGGGATAAAAGTCACTGGGGTGTGAAATAACTATAGCTGGGTGGTACAGAATAAAAAGACAATATTGAAAATATGATTTGTAAAGGCTAAAATGTCCTGCAAAAACATAGCTATCCCCTGTGCACAACTGTGAGGTAGAATTCTCCCCACTACGTTTTCTGGTTTCTTGACCACCATTTGGGGGATTTTCCTGTCCAGATGGTTCACTCTCACATTGCTGTACCCGGGAATGACTAGTAGTACATGTTCTTTACTACCGCCATTGAACAGAATCTTTTCTGTTCAGTTATCAGTCTTATTTTACCTACTGAAAACGGGTGGCAAAAGTTAGTAACATAAACTAATGCTGTTTCTTCTAGTTAATATATCACCATGCTTGGGTAAGTACTTTAATCTTTCAAGGAGTTAAATTAATTCTAAAATTCCAGGGATAGGAACCATTTGGGGAGCTGTTTCGGGCAGACAGGCATTTGCTTCCCTCAGCACCAACTGCCAACCGTGAAGAATGCCATTTTTACCCCAAACCCACTTCTAATACTTCAAATGTGGGTCATAAAAATAGTTTACACCTTTCTACACATTCAAAATATGGTGAAAATCCAGGACACAGCACAACCACAATGAAAAAAGGTATGGCAGTTTCTTTTAAAACTACCCTGTGACACAGAAATTCTAATCCTAGGTATTCACTCAAGAGAAATGAAAGATTACGTTCACGTAAGACTTACGTTAAGAATAATCGTAGCAGCTTCATTCATAATTGCCAATACTGGAAACTGCCCAAGTATTTATAAATAGGAAAGTGAATAAATAAACTGTAATATAGTCATAGAATGGAATACTTCTCAGCAATAAAAAAGGAACGAACTACTGAAACACCCAACCACATGGATAAATCTCCAAAACATAGTAAATGAAGAAGCCTTCTAAGAGTACATGCTGTGTGACTCTACTTATACAAAGATCTAGAATGCACAAATCTGATATACAGTAGAATAAAGAAGAGGATGCTTGTGGGGACAGGGGGCGGGGGGAACAAGGACTGACTGGAATGGCCATATGGGAATTTTCTGGTAACATTTTATATCTTGATAGCACTGTATCCATTTGCCGAAACCCAGCAGATACACACTTAAGATTTATGCATTTCACTGTATGCTAATTTTACATAAAAGTAAAAATGTAAGCAAACATTGAATTCTAGTTAATGATATGTATGCTAAAGTATTTAGTAGGAAGTGTGTAGATTTCTGAAATTTAAAATGCATCAAAAATAATCTGGATTGATGAACTGATACATGGATAGGTATGTGATAAAGCATAATGCTAACTAGCATCTGGGTGGTGAGTACACTGTAAAATTTTAACTTTTTTATATTTGAAAAATTTTACAATAAAATGTTGGGGGGAAAAAATCCAGGGTGCAATGCTTGCCAAATAATGTCGCTGAGAATTTCATCATTGATCTCATAGCAACATAACCATCAAATTCATCCAAACAGTGTCAACTTAGAAACTTAAGAGTTTGTGAAAGGATATTCCTGAGTGTGAGGTGAGCAATCAGTTTTCAAATCTATGCTGACTGAAAATTGTCAAAGTGATACTTCGATCTCCTCATACCTTAATAAAAATAATACATACACTGATAGTATATTCTGAGCAAGTTTGTTGGCTGTGTAGACTAACATAAGAGTTAAGATGAAAAAACATTAAGGGAAAAACCAAGCATAGACATTTTTACTGACTTCTAAAACAACCAGGGTAACAATAATAGAAGAGATGTGTAGAACCGAAACATGATGTGAGGCTTGATCATGGTGAACAGGTCTCTTTTTCTGAATGGAAGGACATCTGAACCGTCCTCCTGTCTCTTCAGGGAGCAACACATTTGGGGACACCCTAAAGAGATGGCATTTGACTTGTAAATACTTCTGAAGTGGCACCTTGAGAGTCACCAAGAATGGCTTCAGAATTTAGCCTTTTGACAGAAACAGTTTTCTACATGCCTTGGATCCATAACAACGCTGCTCATAATACCTAAAGCTGGTAACTATTTTTAGTTATTTGCTAAGAATTCCTGTATCATGATATGTGGGTATTATGTGTATTGCCTCCTAAGAGTTTTCTAACAAAAATAATCTTGATTCTTTTAAAATTTTACTTACTGCTTTCACACTACGTAGTCATGGTTCTGGCTTTCCTGTGATCTCTTAAGTTCTTCATGTTCTAGTACAGGCTCTGCTTTTTCTTGAAGCACACGGACTAGTTTTGACATGTTTTCAAGTCTGCTTTAAAATATTACGGTCGTGTTATTCAGCATATCTAGGACGCTTTTCAGTCTTAAAACATTCCCCCTTATTTATGCTATTTCATGGAGCACCCTTAGTTCTATCAGCCTCTATTACAGGACCAGTCTTTTTCTGTTATTATCACTACCCAAGTTTACCAGGATTATTCTTCTCTAACCATAACAGCACTAACGGTGGTCAGATTCATGCTCTTGTTTCTATAGGTTGGTGCTGACTCACTAAGATCCTAAGTATGATTTTTACTTACTTTCTTATTTATTGATGGAACTGTGTCGTGTCCTGTCAACCTCAAAGTAGATGATACTCCTCATTTGTCCTCCATCTGGCTGGCCTATCATCCTGTCATAAAAGAGTTAATTTGTCAGATTTAAAAGGCTTGCTATTTACTGCCAAGCTCGTTGACCCCACCCTTGGCATTTTCAGTGTATAGAATGGAGGGAAACGGAGCGTTGGGAGGTGAGCAGACAAGGTTCCCTTTCCCCCAAGACCCCATGCTTCCACCTGTGACAAGAGCAAGATTAAAGAATGCTCCATTTTCTATTCTGAAAAGATAATACCTTCCACATTGAAAGACATTTTGGCTTTCAATACTTTTTAACATGATTGTACTTCATTCTTAAAATTATTTGATATGATTTCTCTATTTTACAGATCCAGAGAAATTTAGTGATTTTTTTACCAAGGTCAGTAAATGGCAAAGCCAGACTTTGAAGTCAGGTATTTAAACTCCAAACTCTTTGCATTATATTCACTATAGTTTTTATTTTAACCTTTATGATCTTTCCTCTACTATTCTTGCCATTATTCATGTAACTTAGCTAAAACTAGATTTTCTGTAGCACACACTAAAGTCAAATAATGTCAGGTGTTTTATCTGTGCTTCATTTTGCCTCATCAAGGTATTCATTGCCCTACATACCAAGAGCGTATTTTCCACTCCCATCTGGAGCTTTTTATTTTTAGAACTGAAAGTTAACACTGGTTAAGTTTGCTAATTAGGTTAACTGGTCAGCTATGTTCCAGCCCATCTTCGTACTCCTAGAGAATTTTTCCTTTCAAGGTTTAAGCAAAGACATCCCAATCATAGAACTCTTGTCATTGATGATATTTACTGATGTTAATTTCCTCTACCGTTTTCAATAGGCTCAAGATGGGGAGGACTTTAGCAATTATAGTATGCTTGGTTTTTAGTAACCACAGTATTTTATTGCGGTCCTGTGAGGATGGGAAAAGTACACAGTAATTTCCAATCTCTCTGGCAGAGAACTTACAGTGTAGTAGAAAATTCTGAATTCTTTCTCCAAATGCAGATGGTACAGTGAGACAGGTTCACAATCAATCATGACATTTGTTACAGTGGGTTTATGTATGATTTACTCAGCACCATCAGAAAAGTAACTGTCACGTTCACATTAAGGAGAATGCACTAACTATAATAATAATACACTAAATAGCACACCCCACCCATGAACTGACAGGGTAATGAAACAAACGACAAACACGTTAATACTAGGTAACGCTTTGGAGCACTGGCCAATTTAAAGGCCTGTGAAGTGAGAGAAATATCCAACCTTCTACACAGCAAGGAAGCCTAGAACTGCCACTGATATCTTAGTTGGCAGGCTGAGCAGTTTCATCAACATGACCAATGAGTTACAAGAGTAGAACAAGGTCACCAACAATGAGGACTGGGAATAAAGTCAATTTCATCTGAAATGAAGTTATCATCTTCGCATATCATAACTCTGCCGGGTTAGACTTGTGTGAAGAACAGAGGCCAAAACTGTCCTTAGATATGGAGCTTACACGGGAACAAGTACATGACATGAAGACAAAAGGCAAAAAAACAAAACAAAATGAAGCTGGCCCAATTAACATTTCAGTAATTCCCTGAGATGAGCTAAAGTAATGTGGCAAGTTGCAGCATATACCAATTAGAAATGATGGTTCTTTCTCCGTTATATCTGCGGGGCTAATGTTAATTTATGATGTACAAAGAACTTGTCATTTCAAACAGACTGCAATCACTTCCTTCACAGGTACTCCAAGTGAACTATGACCTTATGAAAAAAATCACATTAGGGCACTGTTGGGTTTTCATTCATAACTGTCTATGTGTATATGGATATACAAATAGAAAGTAGCAGCACAGTTACAAATGAAAAGCAACAGTATTTATTATGTGATAAAAACATATTCATCTTCATTTGAACTACTCAAATTACAAATATTTCCAGATGTGCCTTATTTCGCTCTTGCTGTAGACAGGATAGCTTAAGGCATATAAAATTAACTCATTTGACAATCAGTAGGCGAGTTGATGGTAGAACTAAAGAGTCTCTTTACTTACAGTCAAATTCCTTTCTGGCAAAGTCTTAATAAAAACATTCGAATTCTGTGAAATTCAGTAAGAGAAATAGATATTGAATGCAACTAAGTATCTAAATTAGCCAGTATTTAAAATACCAAATGACTTCCTGATGAATAGATTCACTCATAAGTCAGTCCTAACTTTAGGAAATCTGTTTAAAACATACTTCAGACTACAATACAAGAGGGATTATTACTAATGCCTACAACAGACCATTCACATACAGGGGAACTGAGAAACTATTATGCATGAGCAAAAGGCTGGGAAGAGGAGAAGTCAGGCCCAAAAGATTCCTTCCCTCAAAAGAGCTTATAATGTAGCAGGTACAGACATAAACAACTGTAGCGCGTGGTCAGCACCATCATGAAGACTGAAATGAAGAATCACAAACATTTACACTCACAAAAGTTAAGCCCTAAAAGACTGAGGATTATCGAATATAGAAAAACCTTCCTGGATGTTCTCAGAGCAGTGGCAGCATGAGAGGGAACAGCTGAATGTGGCCCCAGATTTTCTGGCATGTCTGACTATTAAAAAAAGGCTGCATCTTTTACCAAAATTACTCCAAGAGGCGAAAGGTGGAAAATATGATAAATAACTTCACCTAGGTTGGAATGTCAAGTAGGTAGCTGAAAGTACAGGCTTAGAATTTTGGACCAGATATGTAACCCAGGACACTGGGATAAAATAGAAACCCTAAGGATGAGATACTTCCAGAAGCATTCTGAAGACAGAATCAGAGAGAGCACATTTTAGTAGATGCATTTTAAGTAAGAGTTATGTGACTGGACTCAGTTACAGCAGAGGATAACATCTTCAAGGGAGGAGACACTGTCTAGGAAAGGTTGCTCAATGGTATAAATGCTGCAGAGGCAAAGAAGGATAAGGGATGCAGACTGAGAAAAAAAAGTCATTCAATTCGGTAACTGGGAGCCCATTGAGAACCACTGCATTGCTGGTCTGTGTAAAACCAGACTGCAAGGTGCTGAGCAGTGAGTGATGAGGGTGCAGGGTCAATGGATATGGATTTCTCCAAGAAGTCTGGCAGTGAAAGAAGGCTGGAGAAACCAGCAGGCTCAGAGGGAGCTTTTTGCATTAGAAGATACACGAGCATTTCTGTAGACAATGAAAGGAACCAGCATACAATTCTTTGCATAATTTTGTATTGATCACAGACTACAAATTGTTTTTAATCTTTCTCAAAAACATTTTCTGAAATAAAAATTAAAAATTATGTTTTTACCATTTAAACTTAATATAAACTTAAAAGCACTAACATTTTATAAATTTTATTTCTAAAAGAGTTGTACAATTTTTGTTGTTATACCACTTCAGAATCTTGCTTCTAGTCTATCTTGAGAAATTTAATTTTATTAACAATTGCTATTTTAGCTCCTGAAAGATTACTCTGATATAAAGGATTACACTTAAGTAACTATGTAGGCCTTCTTCCCCAGCCCTCCTCCCCCAGAAACAAACTATCTTCAGGGTAGTTAATAATTTGGATAACATTTTTCAAGTTGAAGAAGAGAAAAATGAGAAATAGTATTCCATTATTCATAAGTTCTTAAAGATCTAAATTGTTCTTCACAATAATTTTTCATGATAAAACATGCTTATCTATTATATACACATGCTTACATATAAATTTCCTGGCTAAAATACATGCAACCAACATGAAAAAACAAATACTAAACCATCCTCACAATGCTAAGAATGCCCTTTTAAATAAGGCACTCATGTTTGGAAATAGATATAACCACCAAATTAAATAAGATGTTTAAAAGAAGCCTTTTATTAAGCACAAACAACTTTTATACATTATCAATACAAATAGGAAAATGTTTTTTAATGAATATGATATATCAAAAATCTGAAGGTTTTCTTCATACTGACACAATAAAAATAATCAATTTTGAAGGAGAATTACAAAGTAAAATTTTGAGGACACCACTGTCTACTAATAACAGTTTAACTATAGTCTAAATTTACTACATCACTTGGGGAGGAAGGGCAACCATTTTTTATGGAGAGAATTCCTAAACTCTTATTAGCACCATTCAAAGCTTATTATCAGTTATTCATCTACAAACTGACAGGTCAGGTAAAGCTTTAAAGCAAGTTTTCAGTGCAATGTTTACAGTTCCTTCTTTTAAGATACTTGGAGTCTATGGTCTCAAAGCATGTTAAATAATTCTGCCTTGGTAGTTACAAGATGTTAACACATGGAGAGAAACGTGTAATGGAAAGAAATGAGGCTTATCCTGGCTGTGAAATGCATCTTAACATATTGTAGCCGATGCTGCAGTATGCCAACGACATGCGGGATTATGAACTGCAGATCTGCGGGAAGAAGGCAGCTATTAGCTCTCTGTAGTCATCATTTCGGGATGTCTCAGCTGCTGCCTTTTGAGACTAACTAGTTTCATTCTGTCTCTGATGTGTTCTGCAGTAGAAGCCATGTCACTTGGACTCCCAAAATATTGTTCAGTTCTAAAAATCAAAACAGAAAAAGCCCAGTCAGATTAATACAAATCCATTGACTGTAGTGAATGCAAAAGGAAGCAAAAATTACCATAAAAATTACCTACGTGGTATGGTGTTAGTTCTTTTTGCAGACCATACTGTTTACCTCTGAGTAGCAATTTGGTAGGAGAAACATTTTTTAAAATGGCATAATATGTATTAAGACATGTTGAGAAAAATTTATTAGAAGTATAAATGTCCTATCATGTACACTTATGATAATCTCAATAAACCAAACAATTCAACAAATAAACAAAACAATGCAACAGTATAAATGTTATACTTTTAGCTTGGGGCCCATAAGCATACACAAATATAAAATTTGTATGTGTACTTCAGTGCCAAGGGCTACGGACACCAGTTGTCTAATATAGCTACCAAGTAAAATATCCGTTTAATGTTAAGCCATCATTTGGGACATTAATAGGTAAAATTATTTAATTTTATCCTATCTGCAAAGACACAGTATTCAGAGTCACAGAATCTTTTAGAGCTCTACGAGTTCTTGGAAATAATCTGGTTAAGCTCCTCATTTTTTAGATCAGAAAACTAAGACCTAGAAAATTAAATGACTAAGATCACACAGTGGAAAAAACAGAATTTGAACCTGGGTCTTCAAGCAGTGAATCCAGAGAGACCACCTAATTTCTTTTATTGTTCTAGGAGAATGTTACAAAAGATAAATCTGACTAAGCTTACTGTCCAACTTTACACAGCATAAACAAATTATCATATAAAAGGGAATGAAATAATAATCACAAATATTAAAGTTGTGAAATTAGAATATACAGCCCTAACTTACTCTTTTATCTTAAAAATGAAAATGACACATGAACTATTTGTAGAACACAGGAGGAGAAGCCCAAGCAAAAATACCAGGGGTAGATGCTCCTAGGATGACTTAAGTAGAATGAGAGCGACTTTATGTCAACTGGTTATGAAACACAGAAAAGAGATTTTGGCGAGGGGAGGGGGGGGTTCCTGGAATGGAACAACCAGAAGCACCCTACTAATACTGTTACCAGCTGAATTTATAAACTTTTAGATTTTATTCTCTTTTATACATTGGAGATATACATGACTTTAAGCTACTTCTAATTGTTCAAGTTTAGGTACGACTAGAGATTATCTAAGTACAGACTATGAATAGTATTTGTTCCTGGGCATAAAGTTATATCTTCTCAATATCAATTCCAAATCATCATTTGAAGTTCATGACACAGTAGTAGTGGCACTTACCATGTGTCACAATTGTTTTAAGTAGTTTATATACATGTAGCTCATTTAATTTCCTCGCTCTTGTAACCTGACGAGGTATGGAAAATATATCCCTATTTTTATTTTTATTTGTTTATTTTTTTGCCGTACGCAGGCCTCTCACTGTTGTGGCCTCTCCCGTTGCGGAGCACAGGCTCCGGACGCGCAGGCTCAGCGGCCATGGCTCACAGGCCCAGCCGCTTCGCGGCATGTGGATCTTCCCGGACCGGGGCACGAACCCGTGTCCCCTGCATCGGCAGGCAGACTCTCAACCACTGAGCCACCAGGGAAGCCCCATATATCCCTATTTTTAGATGAGGGAATTGAGGCACAGAAAGGTTAAGTGGCTTGCCCAAGACGTCATAGCTCATAAGTGGCGGAGCTGAGATTTAAACCCAACAAATCTGGATCCAGAGTCCACAATCGTACCCATTACACTCTGTTACAATGTAAGGATACCTGTATTCAATGGTTTGGTTTCTCTATTGTTTTATTTTTTATTTATTTATTTTTTTGCGGTACGCGGGCCTCTCACTGTTGCGGCCCCTCCCATTGCGGAGCACAGGCTCCGGACGCGCAGGCTCAGCGGCCATGGCTCACGGGCCCAGCCGCTCCACGGCATGTGGGATCTTCCCGGACCGGAGCACGAACCCGTGTCCCCTGCATCGGCAGGCGGACTCTCAACCACTGCGCCACCAGGGAAGCCCTCTCTACTGTTTTAATTCAACATCCTCTGGATTACTTCTAAATTATTTTTACTGAGAAGGTCTAGTTCCTTGTAGATAAAGCTCCTTCTGATTCATTTACTCGTCTGTTTATTTTCAAGAGGCTATTTCTTATTTTTATGATCAACTATTTGAAATGGAAAGGAATGTGAGAATCAGAACCCCATCATTTTACAAATGAAGAAATTAGGACTCCATACAGCACAGTGAAAAGAGAATGGATCTGGTGCTAGACAGACCTGAAACTATATTCTAATTCCACTCAGAAGCTGTGAAATCCTGAGGACCTTATTTAACCTTTCTGAGCTTTAGTTTCTTCATTTGTGAATCAAAATAATCATACTGCTCTAGCCCTGGTCAAAAGTAATTAAGGTGAAGTGTTTAACCTGGGGCTTGGTATATATTTTAAGTTACTAAACATTAGTTCCCTCCCCATCCCTTCCATGAATGAAGCCCAAAGTCACCCAGCTCCTTACCATCAAAGTCAAGGCGAGAACCCAAGATGTCAACCTAGTTGATGATCTTTATTCTACAACAAGCTATCAAGAGCAATAAATTTGACAGCAGCAAGTACCAATTGCTACTATTGTTAAGAGCCCAGTATGGATTTCTTTTCATTTTAAACTAACCTTTTATAGAAATTGAAAATGTGAACCAAAGCTAATTTACCAGGACTGTTAAGAAACAGACTTTCTTCTCTTGATAACCCTTTAAGACCTTACTGATAAAAACACAAATTGTAAGAACATGCACCATACCCATCAGGATAAACCACAGGAACAGTTAGTCTATCTAAAAGCGATTTCCCAACTGCTTCAATTTCATCAAATTGCTCCTCATCATTAATAGCTTCAGGCTCTTCCGGACAGTCTTGCAAAATCTGCAACAAATAAAAATGCAACATCAATCAAGAGACACAGAAAAGGAATCAAATTCATGCAAGTTTAGTAGATTGAAGGTGTTTTTGTTCTGTTCTTAGCATTGTCGTGTATGCCATTATAGAAGATTGATCAAAGCTGGCCTAAGAAATTCAAACAAAATGAAATACACAATCCCTACTAATAATATAACTGGAGTATAAAGAGGTTTATAGTGATTTCCAAGAAAAAAATAATACTAGACTACTATTTGGAATCTAAGCTCAAACTGTGCTTAAAAAGTAGTATTCTTTCATTCATTAAGTAACTATTTATTGAATACTTACTTTATGTTTATGTAGCAGCTTGGGATATGAATGAGATACAGATTTTGACCTCAAAGAGCTTACAGACTTCAAAAATGAAAGAAAATATAAATACATAACAACATATACTCAGAGTACAAACACATAACTGATGTGATTATCTAGCTAGAAACTTTATAGTTATTTTAAAAAGTGATCCACTGACCTGAGTTAAATGATGTAAGCAAACAAACAAAACAAAAATAACAACAAAAAAAGATGTAAATTCATTAAGGTTTTAATTCAAACACAGAAGTTCTACAGTCCTTGATATTATTTTTTCCTTAACTATTACCATTTAAATTTAAATGGTACAAAAGAAAATAAGGAAAGAAAGAAAAAAAATGCTGTGATTTGTAACAGTTAAGTCTACAAGTACAGACCCACACATAGTAGCCACTAAGTACATGTGGCTAGTGAGCTTTTGAAGTATGGCTAGTCCCAAATTGAGATGTTCTATGGGTCTAAGATACACTCCAGATTTAAAATAATAATACTAATTTTAAAAAATTACCTCCAAGAAAAAAACCTGCAAAATTTGGGGCAGAAGAAAGTATTTATTTTTACAACTTTTTTTGCATTATAGTTTACTTAATCCAATTATGTTTACTTCAGCATTACTCATAAAGGACATTTTCATATTGTAAAATTCTAGATTAAATTTAAATATTTTCCCAATCACTATCATTTGCTATACAAGTTGCTTATAGTTGTGGTTATATTTATGCTTACTGGTATAAAATACAATATGCTCAAAAGAAAAATAACACCTGATAACAAAAGGCTTTACATAGGTTGGCACAATAAAATAACTTAAAGAGTTTATTACAAGCATGATAAAGGCCATGTACCAGAAGAAATAAGAACATTAATTTTCTACGAAAAAAAGTCTCAACCATATTCATTCTTACATAACTTCTTAAAGAGATCTAGGTTTTAAAATGTCTTTGCAGATACATTTTTAAAGCACGATCCTAAAAAGTTATCAGTGGTGTTAGAAATCAGGCCAGTGGTCACCCCAGGATGGGCAGCAGAAGCAGGGTGATTAAAAGAGGGTGGAGAGCCTCTGGGGTACTGGTAACGTTCTGTTGTTTGAATAGTGCACTGATTATACAGGCATGCTCACTCTATGAAAATTCAGTGAGCAGAACATTTGAGCTGTACACTTTTCTATGTTAATACTATACTTCAATAAAAAGTTTTCATTAAAACAATCAGTAGATAAACAAGTCAAGCCATTTTGTGTACTTTCATTCATCATCACCAGGCCCATTTTACACTAAAACACTGACCTGTGGAGTTCAGTGACCAGCTCAAAAAGAGTTAACTGTGGACATTTCCTAACAAATGTACTGCATAACACAGACAGAAACTGCTTAATTCCTGAGGTTCCTGGCAATTTCTCTTCTGTTCTACAGACTAAGGCTATCACATTTACATCTTAGGTTTCTCATATCTTAAATTGTATTGAACACTCCCTACATATAAACTGTGATCGTTAAGAGATCAAAACAAAGTTAACTACTTAGTAAGACTCCTCTTTGGAATGGAAATATAAGGCTTGGGTGCTATAAATTTTCACTGTGCAGTTGAGAAAAAGGTTCTATTGAAAATTTGCCTGCATATTTCATTTTTGGTTTCTGGGACTAATGAATTCATTAACTAATAAATTCTAGAATGAATCTTTAAAGACAACACATTAAAAAAAAGTTATTTTTATCCTTACTCTCATAATTTTAGCTGGACAGTCTCTAAACATTATAAAAATCACAAATGACCTTTTAAAAAATTTATGACAATTAGTAGTAGTTGCCAAAGCAAAGTTTCCTTTCCTGGCATAATGAAACAGATGGGAGTCATGACACCTGAAAGAACAGACAGTACATTCTGGGCACCAGGTCTGGTGAGGAGAGACGTGCTATTGAGAGAGAGGACTACTGGATAGTTTCAACTCCTCTAACCACAGTCCTCTAGCACTGGTATGGCTTACTAAGAATCTGATTTGAACTTTCTAAGACAATACATTATATCTAAACAATCTTTAAACAATGAAATTAATATAAATTTTTAAAAAACAGACTAATAACAAAATTACAAGGTTAACATATTTTAAACGTACAAACACTACTGAAACTACATTTTTAAAAAAGCGAACCTTTTCAGCATTTGAGTGAAACGCAATAGCCATTTCCAGCCTATGTACCCTCTCTTCAGATGCTATCGTAAATTGTTTCCATACTCTGTTCAGTCGAGGAAGTGTATCCCCAGATGATCGAGAGGTGCAGCGCAAAGACTGGCACAGCACAACTGTGGCCTGTAGCAACTGTCTTCCATAGTCATAAGTGCTCTGAAAAAGAAAAAGTCAACATGAAATTATAATAAAAGAATTCTGAAAAGAGGGACGGGAAAGTGTGCAGGAGGACTGAGATGACAATTAAGCAACACTACTAGAAAGCAATAATGAGTAAGTCCACTGGCACTTACTGCTACAAACTGTCTGCATGCATAAATGATAAAGGGGAAGCAATACTTTCAGTTAATTTTTATTAAGTTTATTTCTTGTCTGGCTTCCCTCTCTTACTCTGTTTTCCCCACCTCGGTCTGCTCAACCATGACCCCCCCCCCCCCACACACACAAAAAAAGGTTTGCTCCCTCATTGATCAAAACGAATGGGTGGCAAGTGGGCACTTTATATTACATACAGGAAACCACACTGTTACAATGTGAACTCAATAGTTAGGGAAAATAAATTAAGATACTTTTCACATGCAAAAAAAAAAAAATCTGTGTTGCTATGCTAACACTAGTGAGATGCAGAAACTAGGGTTTGTCATTTACTGATTTACTTTCGTGAATGAACAGTTACTGCCTAAAAATGTCATAATATATACCATAAATCAGAGGAAGCATACAGAACCTGTATTCAGGAAAACATAAACCCTCTCAAGTTTATGCAGGCTAGTTTTGATTCACCGGCTGACATTTTCTTAGTTCTGTAATATTTCTGGATTAACGTAACCAATCTTCTTGGACTTGGAAGGTTAAGTTACATTACAATCATGCAGAAAGCTACGCAAACACATAGCTTGTAGAAAAGGAAGATAACCAGTTCTGCACCTGGGCAACATCAACAAATTTTCTATGCTTCTCCAGTAGAACTTTCGTTTCCTGAGCATCATCACCCAGTCTGATGTGGGTCTTAAGAAGAGCATCCAGAAGTTCACTTAGCCATTCTACTGCCTAAACGAAAATAAATAACAGTGAAGCTGGATTCATAACTCTTTATGTCTTACGTCAAAACATCATATTTATATAAAGAAAGATTACTATCATGTGATTAATCCATTAGTTATAACCTTAATAGCTTATTTCATTCAATGCCAAGCTACATGAATTAATGACCTCTCCTCCCACTCAAAATTTTTAAAAATCTAAAGACAAGACCTATTAAAGAGAAGCACTCATTTAAAATTAACATTGCATGATTTATACTAATAGAACATCATGTGTTTATGTAATATAATCTTATTGGAATCTCATTATAGATTTATGTTACTACTTAAAATCATAAGTTTCTTCTATGTCAAGCTGGAATCATGTTCTTTGATGCTAACTATACAAAGATAGCAAATTGTTTATCTAGCTGAAAAACCTTCTTGTGGGTTAAAAAGCAATAAGCTACACCAGGCTTCATCCTGGGATGTGTAACTGACAACCAAATCAACAGTAATAAATAATACATAATCCCAATTTCTAGCTCAATAGAGCATTTCATTGAGAAGATAAGCCAAATGAGACGAGTAAGGGCTTCCCTGGTGGTGCAGTGGTTAAGAATCCACTTGCCAATGCAGGAGACACGGATTCGAGCCCCAGTGTGGGAAGATCCCGCATGCCACGGAGCAACTAAGCCCAGGCACCACAACTACTGAGCCTGCACTCTAGAGCGCGCGCACCACAACTACTGAAGCCCGTGTGCCACAGCTACTGAAGCCCGTGTGCCACAACTGAAGCCCACGCACCTAGAGCCCGTGCTCCACAACAAGAGAAGCCACCATAGTGAGAAACCCGTGCCCCCATTCGCCGCAACTAGAGAAAGCCCGCGTGCAGCAACGAAGACCCAACACAGCCAAAAATAAATTAATTAAAATAAATTTTAAAAAAATGAGACCAGTAAGGTAAGTGGGAATACAAAACTTTATTATTTTGACAGGATAAACTAGAATGTGATTTAATGAATTTACTTGCTTAGGACCATGAAAAGTACACTTTTGTTTATAGTTAGGTGAAATCAATCTTCTAAGAAAAGGCAAGTGCATAATGTGCCTGATTGATCTTTACCTGGGCAGCATCTTCTTCACATTTAAACAACTGCACCATCTGAAGCATCTTTAATCTTCGCACATCTACCATGTCTTCACATCTAATAAATCCAAACATAAATTTAGGACATTTCAGTTTTGTTGATAACTAGTATAACGCCACCATCTGGCACACATGTTTTACAGTATACTAAAATACTCAGTCCTACACTATGGAGGCTGTAACTATTTTGTATTGATTTGTAAGAATTTTAAGGATATCTGTATCTGTGTTATATCAAAACCTTAGAATACCTGAATGGTACTAAATCACAAACCCTTCTGAGTATAGTATGGGTTCTGCAAAATACTGAAGCAAAGCACAAACACAGCAGTACACTAAAACCCAAAGCAATATCAACTGCCAATTAGCATTAAACAACCTTCAAAGATAAAAATGTAAAGTTTCTAAAATACTAGTTTAGAGAATGATGCTCCAAGGGAATAAAAACAATAAATAAAGCTTTTCATTACATTACACATTACCCAGAGTAATATCAAATTTTGAATTTAAAAAAACCTCCATCTATGTTCTTAAGAAAGAAAAAAAATTCTGTTGATCTCTGGGTGGAGAGAAACACAATTCAGAGTATTCTTAAATTTTACTGTGGTCTGCCTGGATAATATACAGATTACAATTTTAAGCTGACTTGATCTAGCTCAGTTCTGATCCCTTCATTCTGATTCCCTTCATTCCCATGCAATTCCATGAACTTTAGATGGGAAGGTGGAAACTCACTGCAGTACCAAATACCAATAACAAGCTCCCCATGAGGCACTGGACTCCACTACAGTTGATACGCTTAAGGAAACTTGATAACAATAAGTAAGTCATTGTCACAAGGCTATTTTTTATAAGGATGCCCTCAACAAAAGCCCATAACATTTTGTTAAAATGCAACTTGGTTAAACAATTCTACAAGGGACTGAAGGGAAGTAATCATGATAAGTATTTTTACAATTTGAAGCTAAAAGACAATGTAAGACACTTCAGTGATGAAAATGATATCATACACATATTCAACACATATTGTCAGGTATGACTAATGTGCTCAAAAAGGATAAGACATGGTCGCTACTTTTAAGATGGTCTCATTTGGGGAGATGGACTTTTAAATAAACAATGTGATAAAAACACTACTGCAGAGCTGTATGAGAATAGGGAGGAATAAGTAACAAACTTGCCTTAGAAATCTAAAAAGGTTTCCAAGGATAACTACCCCTGAGTCTTAAAGAATAAGTAGGAATCCAGTTGGCAGAAAACAAGGAAAGACGTATTCTAAGTCATGGATGCATGAAATACCATGATGCGTTCAGGAAAGTGAAAACAAGTGTGTGGTTTTGTAGAAAAATCAAAGGAGGTAAGATTATGCAGGGTTGGACTATAAGGGTCTCCTACACTATTCCAAGGAGACTGAACTTCATCTGAGAAAATAGGAAGTCACTGAGAGGGGTTTATACAAGGAAGTTGGGGATTAGATGTGCGCTTTACAAAAGATTGTGCTCTTGCACAACAGACTGTAGACAAGCAATGCCAGAGGCAGCTAAGATCAGGTAGAAAGAAGTGTTCATGATTCAGAGACAGCAGAACTTGGGCATCTGATTAGGCTGTAAGGGATGAGGAAGAGTAAGGATTTTAATAAATCCTTGGCATAAATTCCAAGTTTGGTAGCTGATGGTATTTTTAACCTGGATAGGAAACTAAAGGAGAAGAGCAAGTTTTGGAGGAGAATGATTCTGATCTGTCCATATTAGTTTTTTTGAGTAGTGTATGGGGCATCCAGGTGGAGACATTCAGTAAGTAAGAGGAACTATGGGTCTAACATACAGAAGAGGGGTCTGGGTCAGAGTCATAACTACTCAATCATGGTCATATTAAAGAAAGTCATTAAAGTAGGGAGAAGACAAAGAGTGAGAAGAGAATTTGGCCTCAGAACAAACCCTGAAAGCAGTGAAATTAGCTAGAGAACAAGAAATCAGTGAAGAGAACCAAGAAGAAACAGAGTGCCAGGAGGAGACTCATGAGGGTGTTTTCAAAGAAGACAAGGTTGTCAGGAAGTTTCAAGAAGAAAGAAAAAGTCACTTGTGCCTAATTCTATTCAGAGTGGTCAAGCAATGTCAGGAGCAAAAGCATTCCCTGGATTTTGAGCAAGATCAAGCATTTATTACACATGGCGATTACAAAGTCACTTGTAACATCGGTAAGAGTATGTCCAGTGAAATGGTGAGGGGACAGGGGAGACTGAGAAGGGATGAAAAGTAACTAGAGGCAGTGAGGAAGTATGAGTGCAGATTAGACCATCAATGACAGCTGTCAGGAAGGAGAATTCTAGGGCTAGAAGACAAAGGGTTGAAGGTATATGCATGTGTGTAATTGTCTAATTTTTTTTTTAATAGGAGAGATTTAAGCATTTAAATGAAAGGCAGGGATCAGAGTAGAGAATGGGAATTGACGGAGTGAGAAGATGATGGGGACACATGGCTTTGATAAGAGCAGACATATATCATCTTTGTGATGAGCATAAATAATGAAATGGATACGTTTGCAGATATGAGGATAGAAAGAATTTCTGTCTAATGACTGTTTTCTCTGTGATGTAAGGGAAGAGTTTCTGTGAGGTTTCTGTTGATGACCTTAGAATTTCTAAGTGTACAAAGATTTCACACAACCATGCTAGCCTATATATACTAGCATATGTTAATTTAATCCTTTACTTTGCAATACTCTGCAATTGCTATTGCAAACTGAGTTTTCAAAGAACCCTTTAAATTCCTAGTTCTACATCAAAGGAAACTAAAAATCATCTTACCCAGAGTTTACTGTCTAATCCTTCTACAGCAAATATGAGAACAATGGATGCATGAAAATTTCTGAGACGTTTAGATGAAGAAACACATCAATGTAAATGACAGATTTAATAGCAACTCTAAACTAAATGAAAATGGAAAAGCAAAATTCTCCAAAAAGAGTCTTCTTAAAAGATAGACGAGTCATAGGCTACACTGGGGATATGGGATGTGATGTACTTGAGTGGAACCAAAATTTTTACCACTGAGTAAAAAGGGAAAATGTACCCATTAATTGAACAAACTGCCATTATTTGTTAGTACAATTATATACAATAATCATTACATTCACCAAAAACCAACTACATGCCTACTATATAACAGGTAAGAATTTTTACTCTGTATGGAAAATATAATAACATCACTTTTTATTTTAATTAATATTAGGTTGTCTTAGCAAAAATTAACATTAACAGTCAAACTTTGCCTTTGTTTCCTAAGCTGCATATCTTCCATCACTCCTTGTATGTGGTCCACATTTTCTTTATTTTCAATGGTTACATCCTTTCCATAGGCCCAGGATGCCTGATTGGAGATCTGATCCAGAAGACCTTGACCTTTTTCACGCAAACCTTGCAATCCTACATCTAAAACAAAAGTTACTATATTTAATCTCTTAAACCAGAGAAGCTTTCCCTCCCTTAAGTAAATCCTCTCAGCAGATACTGTACTTGGATTCCAAGTATAACAACTTTGTACATTAAACTACTTTGGGATGGAGCCCTCTGAATATTTCGATCAATAAAACCCCTTTAAATGTGGCTCAAACTGGAGCTCCCTCTCATTCAAATTCTCCCTGAAGAGAATTTCCAAAAGGTGAATTTCCATAGATAACAATTACTTTTCAAAACTGCAAATAGGAAGTGTGAGAATTTCTATTTTGACAAGATTTTCAATTTTTTCCTTTCTGTTTTTATGTAGTCCAATTTTTAGGAGAACAAGGCAAGTATTCTGTTCAAAAAATATATGAGTTACAAGACATTAAAACATTCAAGCAATGTATTCTCACTGTAAAAGGACACTGAACATTTTGAGTATAGGCGCTGTCCAGCTTACACCCAACGAGAAGCAACACTTAGGATATGTTTACAAGACTCTAAATTAGGTACATATACCAGAATTCTTTTAGCATTTTTAAAAGAAAAATATGGTTTAAGAAAACTTGTGACATTTTGAAATAAATTTCATTTGGTATATTAAATACTAAACATGTATTCCTCATATCATCTGTTAAAAATAACGAAGACTGTAAGCAAGTAAAATGCCAATACAAACGTGATTTTTCAAACCCATTCCCTCAAGTCCTTTTCAAAATTAATTAAATTGGTTCAATCACATGTCACCATTTTCCACTAAATCTCTGCCTTAAGTTACTGCTTTCCTCTCCTCCATTCTCCTTTGCCCTCCTGTCCCACTCAATACAACTCCCCTCCCATTTTCACATCCACTATCCACCTCTCCCAGTCACGTCTTAGGGAAATTCACTGTATTTCCTACTGTAGTAAAATGTAAAAAGCCTTGGTGTCAAGTAAGGGTACTAGCTTAATGAAATTGGACCATCCTCTCCTTGGAGAGTATGTAACCTCGGCAGTATTCCCAGTTTGGAGAAACAAATGCACAGAACCAAACCAACTATTTTTTCACAAGGTTAGGATATAGCAACAACAAAAATCATTGCATAAAACACAGTCTGGGGCATACAGGGTTTACCACAGAACATTTCACAGCTAATTACAGTTTATGCATGCACTACAAATAACTGTTCATAGAATATGCAAGACATAGCACCTGTAGATTCGGCTGGGTAAACAAGAAAGGCTAAAGGCCCTGTGAAGGAAGGGTGACTGACCAACAATGAAAAATAAACACTGTAGCATAAATTACACCCTTTAAGGGGATAAAGCCTTTTTTATACCAATTTTTCCTATGGTCCCTGTTAATAATTATAATTAGATCAGTGTAAGTTGACTTGTCTAACCATGGTAGTGATATTTTTAAAAAAAAGAACCCTTATGTTTCAGCATTTTTAAAATCTGCTTACCAACACTTTTCAGCTTCTCTTCAAGCAGTTTTAAAGTTTGCTGAATCGATGCTCCATCAGCTGGTGCTACATCTACGCACAACATCCCTAATAAGCCATCCAACTGCTGAGACAACTAAAGCAGAGGGACACCAAAGAGATAACCCTGATGTAATCAGCATCTAAAGTGTTTAATGATTAATGAGGTTTATATCTAATGAGGTTATCACAATTATACTTGAAAAAGACTCTGCTGTTAAAAGACAAGGACAAATAATTAGAATACATGTTATCTGAATGACAGAACACACAGATGCATGCACCAGGAAGACAAAGTATGTCCAGGTCAGCAGAATGTTAAAAAGTATTGAAACTTCCATTTCAATCTATGTTATAAAGCATGAAGACTGAAAAAACTATCCAAATGAAATATATCTAAGAGGTTGGGACACTCTATTTAGGCAAAAAAAAAAAGTTTAGTTGCATGCAGAATGACTTAAAATTTTTTTAAAAAATCAAAGAAGTGTATCTTATTTCCCCCACCAGTAAATTTTACTGTTCCAGAAAAATAATTAGGAGACATGCAAACCTGCAAAAATGATGTGCAGATAAGTATTCAGATAATTTGAAGAAAAGAAAAGCAATCAGAGTAGACACTTACATCTTGGGCAACACCATGAAATTCAAGAGCTGCTTGTAAGAGATTCTGCCTAAATTCCAGCTGACTGGCCTGTCGGTAACAAACATCACTAAGTTGTTGCTGCAGCGACTTCAGTTCCACAAGATCTTCCTCATCCCCAGCATTTAAGAGTGCTGCAATTTGCTGATTAAGTTCCACATAAACTGCAAACCATTCCTGTAATATGGAGGTTGTAAAGTAAATTAAGAATCAAATCAGTTCCTGAAGAATACATTACATTTTACAATATCTCCAGATATACTAAGTAACATATATGAGAGTTTTCTAAAGCAAAATTATTTAAATTGAGGACGAAAAGTCCCCAGCGCCCAAATCCTTCCACTGCAATCCCTGGAATTCACTCCTGCCAACAGCAGGATCTATTTGCTCATCCTGGCCTCTAAATGTCCCCTTCTCTTTCCTGTTGTGTGTGAAACCCGTCACCCTCAGAGGAAGCAGTTAGCTCTGCAGCCCTTCTGATGGCTGTTTTTGCTTGTACAGCCAACCTACCACAAGCCTGGAAGTGGGGGAGATGGCTGCCTCACTCCTCATTACTCTTTCCAAACCATTTCTTCTGCTCCTTCTCTCAAAAACCACATCTCCAGTGAAATGCATGTAGTAGGATTACATCCTGCCAACCTTTTCTGTTGCAGGCCCTCATCTCAGAGCTAGCAGACTTCCCTGAACTTCCTCTCAGTGCCAGCCTTCTTCCTGACTTCCACTGTGTAGACATCCAATCAACACTGAACTAAGTCTTAGTTCCTTGACTCCCTCCCTCACTTCCAACTATCCTGTCCTCACCCCACCTCAGCTACCTACTCCAACAGACACAACATTTTGTCATTATCATATACTACCATACAGCCCCCAAATCTTAATTTCAAGAATCCCATTCTCTGATCACCAGTTGCTGACTCTCCAATTCACATCCTTTAGTATGCCTGCTCCTACAGCCCCATGAGGTCCACCAATCCATTGATCTCAGCATGTTCTACTGTCCAGCACTCAGGAGCCTCAGGTCCTCCCTTCTACCCTTTGTCAGAGGCTATAACCACCTCCAGGGCACAACCCATGCTCATGCCCTGCTCTCCTTCCTTCCATCAGACTCACCTGTCAAAAACGAAGAACAGATGCAGAAAAAGCATCCATTTATGAGAAAAACTCTCCAGAAAGTGGGCATAGAGGAGACAAACCTCAGCATAATAAAGGCCATATATGAAAAACTCACAGCTAACATCATACTCAATGGTGAAAAGCTGAAAGCATTTCCTCTGAGATCAAGAACAAGACAAGGATGCTCATTCTCACCACTTATATTCAAAACAGTTTTGGAAGTCCTAGCCACAGCAATCAGAGAAGAAAAAGAAATAAAAGGAATCCAAATTGGAAAAGAAGAAGTAAAACTGTCACTGTTTGCAGGTGACATGATACTATACATAGACTATCCTAAGGACACCACCAGAAAACTACTAGAGCTCATCAATGAATTCAGTAAAGTTGCAAGATATGAAATTGATTACAGAAATCTGTTGCACTTCTATACACTGAAAACAAACTATCAGAAAGAGAAATTAAGGAAACAATCCCATTTACCATTGTATCAAAAAGAATAAAATACCTATGAATAAACCTACCTAAGGAGGTAACAGACCTGTACTCGGAAAACTATAAGACACTGATGAAAGAAGTTGAAGACAACACAGATGGAAAGACGTACCATATTCTTGGATTGGAAGAATCAATATTGTTTAAATGACCATACTACCCAAGGCAACCTACAGATTCAGTGCAATTCCTATCAAAGTACCAATGGGATTTTTCACAGAACTAGAACAAATAATTTTAAAATTTGTACGGAAACACAAAAGAACCTGAACAGCCAAAACAATCTTGGGAAAGAAAAACAGAGCTGGAGAAATCAGCCTCCCTGACTTCAGAATGCAAAACTACAGTAATTAAAACAGTATGGTACTGGCACAAAAAAAGACCCATAGATCAATGGAACAGAATAGAGAGCCCAGAAATAAACTCATGCACTTGTGGTCAATCTATGACAAAGGAGACAAGAATACATGATGGAGAAAAGACGGTCTCTTCAATAAGTGGTGCTGGGAGAACTAGACAGCTACATGTAAAAGAATAAAATTAGAACATTCTCTAACACCATATACAAAAATAAACTCAAAATGGATTAATGACCTAAATGTAAGACCAGATACTATAAAACTCCTAGAGGAAAACACAGGCAGAACACTCTTTGACATGAATCACAGCAATATTTTTTTGGATCTGTTTCCTAAAGCAAAGGAAATAAAAGCAAAAATAAACAAATGGGACCTAATGAAACATAAAAGCTTTTTCACAAAAAAGGAAACCAACAAAAATTACAACCTACTGAATGGGAGAAAGTATTTGGAAATGATATGAAAAATAAGGGGTTAATATCCAAACTACATAAACAGCCAATATAACTCAACATCAAAAAAATAAACAGCCTGATTAAAAAATGGGCAGAAGACCTGAACAGACATTTTTCCAAAGAAGACATACAGATGGCCAACAGGTACATGAAAAGATTCTCAACATCACTAATCGTCAGGGAAACGTAAATCAAAACCACCGTGAGATACCACCTCACACCTGTCACCTCACACCTGTCAGAATGGCTGTCATCAAAAGGAACACGAACAACAAATGTTGGCAAGGATGTGGAGAAAAGGGAACCCTTGTACACTATTGGTGGGAATGTAAATTGGTGCAGCCACTGTGGAAAAGAGTATGAAGGTTTATCGAAAAACTAAAAATAGAACTAACATATGAACCAGCAATTCTACTCCTGGGTTTATACCCAAAAAACCCCCCACAATGCTAATTCAAAAAGATACATGTACCCCAATGTTCACAGCAGCACTATTTACAATAGCTAAAATATAAAAGCAATCTAAGTGTCCATATACAAATGAATGGATAAAGAAGATGTGGGATACACACACACACACATACACACACACACACACACACACAGACACACAATGGACTACTACTCAGCCATAAAAAAGAACAAAATGTTGACATTTTTAGCAACATGAATGGACTTAGAGGATATTATGCTATGTGAAATAAGTCAGAAAAAGATAAATCTATATGATACTGTATGATAATCCATATAAATGTGGAATCTAAAAAAATACAACAAACTAGAAAATATAATAAAAAAGATGCAAACTCACAGATATAGAGAACAAACTAGTGGTTACCAGTGGGGGAGGGCAAGATAGGGGGTGGGGATTAAGAGGTACAAACTATTAGGTATAAAATAAGCCACAAGGATATACTGTACAACATGGGGAATATAGCCAATATTTTATAATAGCTATAAATGGAGTATAACCTTTAAAAACTGTGAATCACTATATTGTACACCTGAGACTTATATAATATTGTGTATTAACTGTACTTCTATTTGAACAAACAAAACCTCAGACCTGGTTTCTCTTCCTGCTGCGTGCCTCCAGCAGCTGAAGGTGGCTGGATCAAATCAACTATGTGGATAGGTGTCTTTTAAAAGTTGTGACCAAATAACCTCAAATGGGCCTTCAGAAACCCTACTGTATTTCTCTAGTTATTTCACCTCCCTATTCTTATGATATGTTCTTTTCATTTCTTAAATATCCAACTCCCTTTCACCTCTTCACTCTAGCCAAAAATCCAACTTCATAATTCACTACGACGCCATCAGAAGAGAACTCTTTCATCCTCTCACAGACAAATCTATTACCTTCCCCGCTTCTGTAGCCCTAGGCTCTGCCCTCTCTGCTAAAATAATGAAGGAACTCTGCCTGATTCTAAGGCCAACTGCTCCACTGCACTCTACAGACTAACCTCTGCTGCCTATGCAAGGCTTTGCTCTTGCAATTATCTTCTCTTTTCAACTGGATTATTCCCATCAGCGTACAAATAAACTGCATATTCTACTAAAAAACAAAATATATACTTAAGATATGTGGATTTTAATATATGTAAATTAAAGATAAAAAACCTTCCCTTAAAGGAGATCGCTATACTCACTCTACCTTATTTCCTATTCTTTTTTTAATTCACTCTGATCAGGATTTTGTCCTTCCCACTCTTATCAAAAAAATCTCAGTCTTTATCTTATTGGACCTCTCAGTTGATTTTAACAAAGGTGACCACCTCTCCCTCCTTTTTCACTTCTTTCCTGAGCCACACAGATCCTTTTCGGCCTCTTCTGCTGGCTCTCCTTCCTCTCCTTGCCCTCTAAATTTAGGAGTGACCCAGGGTTAAGCTTTCCAAAGGCTCTTTTCTTCTAAACCAATACTCATTGGGTTTGGATGATTTCATCTTGTCCCACGTCTTCAAGTAACATCTATAGACTAATAATATCTTCAACCCTGACCTCTTCCCAAGATACTGATACCCAACTACCTAACAGCTATCTTCATTTGGATGACTAACCTGCCCCCACAGATACTGATTCTCCAGCCTCCCAAACCTACTTCTCTCAGTTTTCCCCACTTGAATAGTCATTAAGGCTAAACACATGACTCCTCCAAGAGCCAGTCCTGCCGGCTCAACCTCGTAAGCCTGACAACTTCTCACCACTTCTGCTGCCTCCATTCTGTTAGCTTCCTGTCTTCCTATTTCACTGTTTGTCCCTACTCCCTATCCCCTATACAATAGCTGGTGATCTTTTAAAAACATAAATCAATTATATGCTCAAATACTTCTCCAATGATTTCACATAATATTTAAAACAAACTTCAAGTTCCTTTTTCTGGGCTAAGATCACATGACATGTTTTGGCCCCTGACTCCCTATCTTGCTCACTGCACTCCAACATTGCCAACATACCTGCTGTTCCTCTATCATGGCAAGTAAGCTCCTGCCACAGAGTGTTTCTACTGCTGTATCCTCGATCTGAATTGCCCTTTGCTTGGATTACTCCTTCATATCATTTCAAGGTCTCTGATTAAATGTCATCTCCTCAGAGAGGCCCTTCCGGAAAGCCTTACCTATACTGCTCTCCACTCCCTCTTTCCTCAACTTGAATGTAAGTTCCGTATGATAAGACAGTGCTATATTCTCAAGAGCCCAGAACAACAAGTGACATTTAGTATGTGCCCTACTAGCATGTACTGAGTGAACACATAAAACACTTTTTATATTAGGTATTGTAGATTTGTTGACATTAAATTAGGTAGGTAACAGGTACTGTTCCAAATGTGGTCTCTCTTATGCCCTGTACCTAAAACTTGGGTTTCTCTAATCTGTCATATTGTCTTATTGCCTGAACTACTATGGAATTTTTGAGTATGATTACAGAGATGATGTAGTCATACGTAATGCAAAGAACACCAGACTTGAAAGACAGACTCAAGGTCTGTCTTTTTCCTTCCTAAGGGTGTGATCTTCATCAAGTCACTTAATCTCTCAGAATCCTTTTCTGTCTTTATAGCAGTATGTTCAACTGGTGGCAATTTTGCTCCCTAGGGAACATTTTGCAATATTTAGAGACATTTTTGGCTGTCACAACTGGGAGGGAGGGATGCTACTGCACCTAGTGGGTAGAGGCCAATGATACTGCTAAATACCTACGATCACAGGACAGTCCTTACAACAAAGATTTATCAATGAATAAATCAGTAATGCCAAGGTTGAGAAAACCTGTTCTCTACAGCTGTCCTTCCATGTCCTTGGTGGACTGGTGCCAGGGATTCCAAATTCCAGCCATGCTCACGTCCCAATTTATGTAAAATACTTTCTAACCACACAGTGATTATAAAGGTTAATGGAGACTGACTGATTTAAAGCATAAAATATTGCCTGAGAAGATGATCACTGTTGTGTTCTAAATAGAAAGGGATTTCACAGTCTTATCTATAGTACTTACAAATTTAGTTAATGCTCTAAATAAGTTGGTCTAATTCTTTGAAGAAGTAATAACAGTGATTCAGAGAAAAATAGTAAGCTAAAGGATAAAAGACCTGAGATATTATTTCTTGCAGTGAGAACTCTCTACATCAGATCACCTGGGGTGCTTATTAAAAATACCTAAGTGCCCCCCAACCTACCAAATCAGAGTCTGTGTGGGTGGGGTTCTGCCACAGGCCTTTTAACAAACACATCAGGTGACTCTCATGACCATTAAGGGTTAAGAACTACCATCCTCAAGCTGATTTCTTTTTTCCTCGTTTAAACTTGCAAACTATAGGCCCTAATAACCAGACCAGAGATGCAAACAATTTAAGAACTCGTATGTCTCATGAAATTAACACCTGAAATTAGAACTGATGTTGTCATAGAGAAATAATCAGTCTCTCTGGGATGTGGGGAAAAAAATCATATACATATACACACACACAAACACACACACATTTTAATCAAAATGTTCCTTCCTAGGAAATTGGGGAACATAAAATTTATAGAACCTCAGATGAACAGGCTGCATTCAGTTCAGTTATCGTCATTCTCTGGTTTACCTCTTATAAACATTTAACTGTATAGAAAATGATTATTTCTAGCCCCCCCCAACGAAAACACACACACACACGCACAGAAACAAAAACAAACTTAAAAAAACAATCCACCACCAAGATATGGGATTTGGATTAAGATGGTAGATAAGAAATGAACCTGGATGTTCACATACAAGGAAAAAGCAGTCATCAGGACTGACACTGGAAATGTATGTGAATTGGTGGTGATGCACAGTTGGTGAAATGATGGGTATTTATATTTTATACTATGATATAGGAATCTCAATCTAGGAGGAAAGAAACACTGCCAACACACTTAGGCTAATACCTTAGGAAGAAATGGGGTCTTGATTCTTTATGCAGACCTGTTTTGCTTACTATAAGGCACAACACACCAGTATTCTCTTCGGAGACCAGAAGTCAGTACTGTGGGATGGGGAGACACTGACAGAATCCTAAAGCAACTTCAGAGATTTATGCTTCTGCACCTTCCTATTATGTGCTTTTCCTACCACTCACCTACCTCCACCTAAAAGCTAAAGTAAGATTACTGGACTAAAATACTTTAAAAATTATTTTAAGTTATTATAATCATTTTCATACACCTTAATATTCTTTCTGTTGTGCTTACCTACTATTCAAAAACCAAGTAAACTTCTCATTGCCACTCCTTGACAAAGAATTATATATTAGTAGCATTTTCATTTTCTATATATTAGCATTGAATATTCTAATCAATTTGGGTTTATTTTTAGCTTTATTTCTAAAGTATGGTTTTATAAAGAATCTAAAATTTAATACTTGACAGAGTGCTTTAACACAAAATGGTACATTAAAAGTTTCTCCAAATTCTACCCATATCAAGCAATCAATACACTAGAAATTTGTCATTATAGTTTCATAAGACCTGAACAATTCCAAAATAGGCTTTAAAGTGTTGACTTTTATTTACAAAGAGAAAAGAAAGCTTTTAATAAAATATTAGAACATCTTAAAAATCATAAGCTGATACACGCGTCCTGCAGCAAACAACCTATTCTCAAGGTGACAATGCAGTGCCACCTATTGGTTAAAACAGCACAATTCAAGTTTTGCCTTTTAGAACTTCATGGAATATTTTTTTCTGAATATTTTCAATCTCTGGTTGGTTGAATCCTTGGATGTGCGTGGAACCTGTGGATACGGAGGGGCCAACTGTATATATATTATCTTTGCAATTTTCCTAGTTAGTACTTGTAAGAGACTTAAATATGAAATTCCATAATTGAAAAATCTATATATTTTATGCATTTCACAGGTTCCAACATAACGGTTTTTCCTTTTATGCTGAAGAAAACCCTGAATACTTTGTATTTAACTTATAATTCCTGTTCCTGAGGTTATACTTTTTAAATTCAAGACTAGATAAAGGCTGTATTTTTGTACTATCACTCTTTCTTCTGTTACAGTAGTTTTAAAAATTTCACATGAACTGTGTTTCTATAAAAATATATAATTAAGCTATACTGGAGACAAAACCAAAACCAAACTTCTAATGAATATGTACTAAGTGGTCAAAATGTACTTGATAGCCATTAAACATACCATACTTTATGCCCCTAAACCAAGGTGTACAGCAACTTATCACTTAGTACCACACGCTATTAATTATGCACATTAATAATAGCTCTGTAACTTGCAGAGGAAAAAGCCTCTCACACTGTGCTGGCTCTCGATCTCTTCGTGCTTCTGCTGTAGGGCTTGGGAAGCCCGAATGGAGTCTCCAATCCCCCACTGGGCTCTCAGCTGTTCTGATCCAGGCCCTTCAAGCCAGTTCACAACCTATGAATGGAAGTTGAGATGAAAATTTTAAAATAATCAAAAACTTTTCAAACTTTCATTCTAATTGGTTTTCCCTTCCCGAAGTTCCTCAAGTATTTTTAATTTAAATTATTTAAATTCTATTGTATAGGCAGTAAACGTTTCTTCTGGAACTATACAGCTATAATGTGACAACTTTTCCAAAACCTAAATTTGATAAAATGTACACTACAGCACCTTAGGCTTTCAGCTATCTGATCACCTGCCAGGCTAAAAGAAATATGACATGCTCCCATAAGAGAGGCTTAAAAATTAACTTATGATGATAAGAAAATTAGAGAACTATAGGTTTTAGAATTGAAAGGGACACCAGAAATGACATTGGTCAAATTTCTTATCTAATACTTAAGAAAACTGAGTTTCAGAGAGATTAAGTGACTTGTTCAAGGTAACATAATTCATTATTAAAAAACTAGGACTAAAAGCCACGTGTCCTGACTCATACTCTAAAGTTCCTTCCAAAGCACTCATAAAACAGAATCAATTAACTGATATAAAGTTAAAATACTATTTTTCTCACTTGGAAAAGAAAATTAAAAACTGTAGAATTATACTACTGCAGTACCCTCTAGGGGGTCTTCTTAGGATAAGCCAAACTTTCAGACCCACGAGACCATCTGAAGTCCCCGTGGCACCAAGTCTACTCAGAAGGATGAAGGGAAGGGACTACAGTCTGCCAGGGTAGCAGGACTGGGTGTTTCTCTTCTGCCGGGTCCCTGAAGCAGTCCAACAGTTCAGGATATGAGATCCATATGGGACAGATATGGGAGACACTCTGGCATCAAAACCTCACACCACACAGGCATCATGCCCATTATAAAAGTCACTGAGCTCCAAGATGCCCGAAGTTATCCCTTCCATCAAGTATTAAGAGTTCTCCCAGTCCAGAGCCAGAATAATTTTTACTACAAGCAATGTCGCCTAGTAACACAGTTGACATTTTTATCAGGTTTTCAAGGGAACAGACCTAGATAGTTAAGCAAAGATCAAATTCTCATGCAGAAGAAAGGGTTTTGTTTTCTCTACCCACAAACATATATACTCTAAAACTACAGACACAGTGAAGTAATTCTAACAGGAAAAAATACTGCCCAGCTTTACCAAGCTGAATTATTATTTATCAAGCTAAATTACAATCAGGAAGTCAACAACAGCTAACTTAGGATATGTCTTAAATCTAAACTTAGGATATGTCTTAAATCTAAACTTAGGATAGGTCCCAAGAAGTGAATGAGGATGTCTGTGCAGCATAATATTAGAGACTCAGTGGATAGACAGGCTTACCTTATCACAGACCCACAGTGCATTCCATAGTTATTACCAGGGTAAAATATATTTAAAATCTAAGAGTTTATGTAATTTAAATAATCATATAAAAGTACCACATCATAGGGGAAAATCATGTGTGTTTCCTTCCATTAATTTTTCACATGCACTGCATTTTCATATGTTACTCCAGATTTAAGTGCTGCAGCCGATTGTCAGAGTACAAGTAATTTCTATCCTGTGTTTTTCACTTCCTTGTGGCTACAGTTATTATCATTTTAATGGCTCGAAACCCCTTTTTTAAGAAGGCCAGCCTCCTTGCCTGCCTCCTTCCTTAGCTCCCTCTCATCTGTCCAAACAACCAACCATCCCACCTGACTAAGAGCTAAATAAGCAACGTCCGACCTCAAGTAACTATTATACCTGCTTTCACAACTCCAATTCTCTACTGTTGAGCATCGAAGTAATTTTAAGATGAACATATATATATAGCAGTTATGCAACAGAATTCTTCTCTAATTCTCTATTGCTTTCCTAGAAAACATTTTCAATAGAGATCTTGGGTCCAATGATGATACAATGTTAATTGCTAATAGTATACATTATAAAATTACTCTCTAAAACACTTGTCTCTATTTGAAACATCCAAGTCATGAAAGTTTTAACTGAGAATAACCTTTGCAAGGTATATAAACTGACTACTGCTTTTACTTTATTTTATTTTATTTTTATTTTCTGAGATTCTCAGTGCAATTTATTAAGAAACACCCATGTGGGGGCTCTGGGAGAAACAGTATCTCTAACAACAAATATATTTTGTCATTTCCAAAAAAAACTCTGGAAATGGGGTTCTTGCCCTTAGTCTACTTCAAGCTTAATGTAAGAGATGAGATGGGTAGTCAACCAAAATAATGCAGCAATGATTACATTTAATTTGAAATCATTTATATTTATTACAAAAGTGGGTTAGAAACAGTAACTAAGGAAAAAGTTGGTTAGATCATAAGAATGTTGGTAAGTTCCTATGTGAATGATACTAACTTTGAGTAAAATTAGGGGAAAGTTTCCTGGAAAACAACATAGACGTCATCTACTTTTGGATTTTATATCTTCTTACATAGATTGGTAAAAAACACCAAGACTTCTTGTTTTCTTAATAACCAGAGGGGAAAAACAGAACTACATACTAAATAAAAATCTTTTCATGAGGACCCAATACTCATCTTTGTTTAAATATTTCTCCCAGTGAGAAATCCTATACTGGTTCTGCATTACATTCGGGATGAAATGTGGCTATCTGGTATGGCCATACTATGCCATGGATGATGGGGCCCTGCCTATCCTTCACCATTTCCTTCTTTAACCGAGCCCACGTTGAACTTTTAGTGCTCCCCAAGGGCGCCATGTTCTCTCACTAGTCTTGCTTTGACATGGGTCATCCTCCTACCTGAAATCTTTTCAGCCCCTTCTCTTCGTGACCTCTTTTTCATCTTTCAAGACTCATCTCATGCTATAGATTTTGATGATTTTGGTTTTAAGTTTTCTACTGAACTGTTTATTTTTCTGTTGATCCATTTTTTAAAATGAGTTATTTTTCATTTCCAAGGGGTTGGATACTTTTGATCTGTTTGAACTTACACTATTGATTTCTAGTTGTCAAACAAATTCAAATAAAGATGACATTCTTGTGATTATTCTCGCTATTTCTTTTTAATTTTGAAACTGCCTACATAATGAGAATATTTTAAAGAGCATTATTATAAATTATGCATTTTAGAGTTATAATTTAGAGCAATATTCTCAAACCAAAAACCCTTAGAGTCATTCTTGACTCTTTTTTTCCTTTTACATCCTGCATATCTGATACCCCTGGAATCCTGCTGTTTTGACTTTCAAAATAAACCTGTTCTAAGCCTACTTCAGGCCTTACCTAGATCCTTGTGGTAGCCTCCAAACCAGGCTTTCTGCTTTTAGTTTTGCCCCCTACATGGCTGACTATTACTTATAAAATACTTCCACCAAGTTTAAAACTGAAATCTCTTCAGGTGTATTTCTAAATATTAGTGAGAACGAATAAACTGCGAATGTTTGCTTACTAACAGTATATGATCTTTTGGGATTTCTCTCTTTATGTGTGTGCACATTTATGTCCTAGTATCTTAAATATTAATATATTCTTAGCTTCCACCTTCTCTTTACAAGGTTTTAATACTAAAGAGCAAAAACTCAAAAACAAAAAAGTCCAAGTATTATTTTTGGCTCACTGGAATAGCCTAACTGCTACGATTTTCTTTGCTAAATTCTGTTTTCAGAGTCCTAAATTCATCTGCAAACCTCTATTGCCAAGTACTCTTTAGAATACAATGCTTTGTTCCTCAACATCTCCACTTTTTCTGCTTTACTCTTTGGTATGAGCTATATTTGCAGGGTACTAGGATCCTGTTTGTCTCTGCTGGCCTGTGGAAAGTATCACTCTTTCACAAAAGAGACAGATGAGCAGTTCTGTCTTCAGGAAGCACTAGGCGTGACTCTGAAATTCTGGCTCTGCTCCTAGGAGTTGAAAGACTTTGGTCCATCACCTTTGAAATGGTGTTAATGCTACCTACTGTATAGGGCTATTGTCAGGATTATACAGTCATTATACGTAAGACACTTAAGCACAGTAGATGATACCAATGGTTGTTAGCCTCTTTGCTTTCCCCACTTTTTCTGAAGAAGAAAGCCTAGCTCCTTCTATTTATTCACTCTTTATAAACTATGTCTCATATCTGCATTTTACAGTAAAACCCATAGGCTTTTTAATTCCCGAACTAAGTGTTTTAGTCTATGCTTTTAAAAATTGGAAATAAAAAGAGTAAGTTTTAAGAAATCTCATGTAAACATTTTGAAACAAGTTTCCATTCCCTTTGGGGGACTCAATTGCTTCTCACTAATTACTATGTATTACGAATATGAATATAGAAACAGATATACAATGGCATTTAAGCAATTAATACATTATTTCACTAAAAATGTCTAAATTCTAAAAATAAGGGTGGAATGAAAATAACTCAGAAATTTTAACTAATTAATGTGTTATATATTATTTTTAAAAACGTAAGGCAACATTATTTAAAATTTAAACTTTGAAACTCTAGAAAACTTTTAAACGATAGAAACAAAAGAAGCAGGTTAATATAAATCATGATAACTGGGGAAAAACAATTCATTAGCGGGGAACTTTCAAAGAGTTATAAACTTAAAAATAAATTTTAAATAAAGCAAAGACATCTCCTTGGCACACACACACAAAAACAGTTACACAGTCAAGTGTACATATAGTTTTAACGTATGCTGAAAGTAATTTCCCTTGGAATGCAACATCAGTAACGTAAACACCATAAATGTATGACTATTTCTAATAAAAATGATGCAAATTGAGGTTGATGCCCCAGTAAATAAATCTATTTAAATGCATTAGTGATGGTGGTTTGCCAAATTGGGTTATAAAACTTAATTTCAATCAGGACATCTTGCTCATCAGTCAATCTGAATATTAACTTACTGCAAAAACAGTTTCATGCACAATCCATTATCAATGTGACCTCTCAAACGGTTACATTTATATGCAAAGTATAACCTTGGAGATGTGCTCTTAGAATCCACCATGACAAATATTTGCAGAGGCCAAAAATGCATGTGACTATCCATCATTT